TCTCTGTAGGCAATTTGGATCTTGAACTCAAGTGAAATTTCACTTAGATTTCTTTGAAACAAATTTTGATTTTTATCGAAAAATGTTTTAAACCTTTCACTTAACGAACAATTGTACGATGTAGCAGAGACTTTTACAAGTATTCCAGAAATTTTTCAGATTTTCCTAAAACTTGAAACAGTAAAAAAATTAGACTTGGTCACAAACTACCTAATTTTCCTGCAGAGTGTGAAAAGTAATGTTTGCCTACGAAGGATTAAATAGCTCGAATGTAGCTACGATTCTGAATACGGAAATGTTCTCGTTTTTTCGATATCTCTCTTCGTTCCGGAGATATTCGGGAAAAAGCGTTGGCCTGGGCCCGCCGCGCCGAAGCGATGAGCGCGGGCGGTTTTTCGCGATTTTCTCGAAGACGTTCTCGTTTTTTCGATATCTCTCTTCGTTCCGGAGATATTCGGGAAAAGGCGTTGGCCTGGGCCCGCCGCGCCGAAGCGATGAGCGCGGGCGGTTTTTCGCAATTTTCTCGAAAACCAGCTTCACAACCCCAATTTCTTTTTACAGAAATCGATTCTACAAATGGACCTTCACCGTAATCTAACATTTCACGGCGAAACTCTCTCCGAAATCAAAATTAGATTTTCAAAATTAGAAGATCAAAATTATATCCTTAAATAACCACATCTCCCCTTTGATATCTCGAAAAAGAAGACGAATCGACCCACAATGCACATAACGCTTTTTCCTCAAAATCACTTGCCAAACACGTTGGCAAAGTTTCAGATCGGAATCACCCTGTTTATACGTAATACGTAGCCGGCGGTGGTCGACCTGGCATTTCCGCCGTCATCAACAGCAGAATCAAGCAACTACGAAGTCAGAAGTATACAGAGCAGTGGAACAAAAGCTCGAAGGGTTTAGGGAGAGATCGTTAGGTGAACGCATTTTCGAGTGATACTCTCTCGGTGAACGAGGGCAGCGGGGCCACCGAGTCGCGTTTACCGAGCTGTCGACGAGTGGCACAAGCATCGGGAGGAAGTCGTTGAAAAGCAACGGCAGCGTGACTGTTTTCCGACGCGTCTGAAAAGGGCTGGGCTCTTTAACAGTGCCTTGGCTCGCGTCGGCTGCGACTTCCTTAAGAACTTGGTCGCCGAGGAACACGTTAAAAATGCGTTAACAGCTTGTAACGAGTACCTTTAACGTGTCAGTGATCCCCGGAGGAAATCTCTCTCTCGGATCTACGGGGTTAGGTGTCGCGTCGACGGGTATTTCACCGCGTCGAGTGCTCTCGTCTCTTTCTCTTTGTAACCTTTTCCTACCCCTTATCTATCGCGATCGAACGATCAAACACGAGCTATTCTTTCGAGATCGAGGCGGAAAGAAAGAACGAAGGAAGTAAGAAAGGTGGAGGAGAGAAGTGTTAGAGGAGCGTACTTTTGTTACCTCGAGATACTTCTAGCTCCGTGTTGCTTAATACCCCAACCCCGATAAGGAAATTCGTAATTTCTCGATAATTGCGAATACAACGCGGTGTATTTCGCATGTTGGTAAGGTGAAACGGTAATTACGTCGTAAATAGTCGCATGTAAATTACCTGGAATAGAAAGTTTCCTGGCCTTCGTATTGCGCCTATGCCCGGTTCGTTTCCTTCGAGAGTCCGTCCCAAAAAGGTGTATCCTCCTAAAAAGCGAAAGCCCCGAAGGTCCGTAGGAAAGAGCACACGATGGAATTCCCTTTTGCCTTCGGTTACTCTGTTCGACGAGCAAAAGGAACGAGGAAAAAGAGAGAAAGACGGTAGAAGAAAGATAGAAAGAGGGAGAATGAGAAAGGAGGAGGAAGATGAGTCGAGGGCCTCAGGCTAGGCTACACGAAGTCGTTCTAAACTAGTGTCTCGTTCTTTCTAATGACTGTCATTTACCCGGTGTCATCCTCGTGTCCTGCAGCATCCGACAACCTACGACGGCCCTTCATACTGCACGTAATCTTTTCAATGTCCGAGACAAGATGGATTCCCGGCGTCATTAGGGAGCATAAAGTGTCTTTCTTTCCTTGTTTCGTTCATCGTATCCGCCCTTTCCGTCTTTTCCGTCGTCTGCTGCTTGCCTGCCTGCTTTACTGGCTTGTGGCCTGGCCTGCCTGCCTCCGTGGAATTTGCCTCGCGACTCCTCCGCTTCTTCTTCGCCCCGTTACCTTATACCACTCGAGCACGATTGCACCGGGCAATGGAGCGCCAGGTGTGGTCATTAATTTCGCAGCGTGCTGCGGAAAAACGTCCGCGAGAACTGAACAAAGCTACGCCAGCCAGCTCGGCTCGGCTCAGACCAGCCAGAGAAAGAGAGAGAGAGGTGGACGAGTTGCAACGTGGAACGAGCCATTTTTACGGAACAATTATTCGCGAAGGTGAGCCACGTAGACGACACGGAATTACTGTAATTCCTACTCGTCCACCGGCCACGAATTTTCCAAGCATTTTTGCTCTTTGACCTCGCCCCGAACTATTTAGCTACACGTTTGTTCCGGCTTTTAATTGCTCTTTCATGGGCTTTGTACCGTGTACGTGGCTTCGAATAATCGTTCGGTACGTATGGAGGAATTGGAATTGACGACTTCGCGTCGATTCTCTTGCTTACCAAAAGCTTCGTATCACTTGTTAATTTATATTAACCCCTTGCACTCGAAGGCCCTTTTTTCTATAAGTAGCAAAAATTAATGTAATTTTTTTTATCAGAAGTTGGTTCTTTCAAACTATTTCACTGCTGAGATCTCTAAACGGAGGTTCATAGACCTGCTGTCTTGGAAAATATCATCCTTAGAGTTGCCTCTAATGGTAAATGTAATGTCGCTTCTTAGTCGCCTCAAAGAGTGCAAAGGGTTAATATTGAATTTGCTAATAATTCTTCGCAGATTTGGAATTGACGGTGTGGAGATCATTAGCAATTTATCTCATTTCGATTGCTTTAACTCCTTAGCGCTCACATTTTTCTCAACTTGGCGTCCCAAAAGCGCTCAATTCTATATTTTTTAAATAACTTCCTAGGCGTATCGAAATAAGTTTCCCATTTATTTGCAACACTCTAATTTACATTTTCACCATAAAATAGAACGTATAACGCGATATGCAAAGTGAAAGAAGATAATTAAACAAAATTGCACTTTTTCGAGGATTAGTTGTGTAAGACACGAGCACGAGCGTTAATTTAATATTCAATTTTATCCTTCACGCACTTCCCACCACAAACCGAATTTTAAAACGATACGGCGAAAATAACAAATTTTGCAGCCGTGGTTAAAAATTTACAGTCATCCAGTAGTGAAGGGGTTAAGTGATTAACACGTCCCGTGCCGGACCGATTTTCGGTGACTTTCCGTTCACGCCGCGTGGGTCGTATGCGTCCCACATTGTCCAGACTAACAGTTTTGCTTTTCGCCCTATATGTCTTCCAATATTTATAAGATTGGAAAAATCATTGTTATCGAGAAAAAGGTAGCGTTTAAGATACGCTACAGAGCAAAGGAAGAATTTTTGTTTTAACAAATTATCGCCGTAGTTGCATAGTTTAAGTTAGCGAAATATCAGATGGCCTGAACGGAAAGACCAGAGTGGGGCGTATGCGACCCACGCGGCACGGAACGTGTTAAATACTAAAGAATTTAAAAAATTCTCGAAATTCCTCATGTTTCCTAAAAATTTTCCTGTAACTTGCAATGTGCACAGTGATTCCAAAGTATAGTTGGGACCACGATATAGCGAGGTCGTAAATTAAACTCTCAAGAATCGGCATCGATTGATGTTGCGGCACTCAAGGCCGTGTGTTGCAGTCTGTTTGAGGTAGCATATGATTTGGTACTTCAAGTAGAAAATGGTATTTCATTTACAAATGGAAAATATGTTAATATTAAAGCTACACAATCCTTTTGCATTTTCTATCTGTATATAACACGAGCAGGTAAATGAAGATGTTAAAGACCTCAATAAGACCTTTACTTGTAACCGTACTTCCAAAAGCGGCTTCCCCCAGAGGGAGAAACCCTAATTTGTCCTAGCTGCATGCAGTTTTCAGTAAATATATTAGAATCAGTTTGACTTTCGCTGGATACAAGAATTCTTTGTACGGTCCTGACCATGGTTTCAAGTACTTATCTGCTCGTATTTCTGTCAATTTCGGGGTCCCGGTAGCTAAAACATGTTTACTTTGACGCCTAACCGATTTTACGACCTCGCTATATCGTGGCCCCAACTATATGTATAATCCTCAAATTCCCGTAGATTCTAAATAGAACCGTTGTATCAAAATCCGTGTACATATCGTGCACAATTATCTATCGCAATTACCCGGGCGGTAGTAAAATCAGTAGTAGACGGAAATCAATAGGAAGCGTTTAAACCACGACCATCACCGCCACCCCAGAGGTATTTCCGGTGCGCAACTGTCCCGCCGCAGCTATGCAAGCAATACTCCCTCCATATAATATCCAACCTGAACCACGTGAACGGAGTAAAACCCGAAATTTTCCACGCAATTTTCCACCGTGTTTGCAATCGACAAAACAACCACTCTCAATGGCGGAAAAATAATCGCTGGTTATTAGCACGAGGGTCTCGTGTGATTTGGCGGAACGCACGGGAATAATGCCGTGAAAGTAATGCTGCTCGCTTTACGTAACGAAAAGAGGAGGCTCGTTAATGCGGTTAAATCCAGGATAAAATTATACAGCTATGTATGTATGGAGCTCGCGAATTCATTCGTTCATATGAATCCACGCGCTCCACTTTCCGCCTCGTCTGCTAATACGATTCCACGGAACAATACGGTGTAATAACGTATGACGTGCACTCTCGCGAATACGAATCCGTGCCAATGAATCTCTCCCTCCCTCTCTCTTCAGTTCCATTGTACTTGGTCGATTACCGTGCAATTAAATTCCACGTGTGTCGAACGTGAGCGTCTACGATCGAACGGAATCGAATCGAAAGTTACTCTACTCTTACTTTGCGTGTTTAGGTCCGGTGGTTCATCCGGCACGAACAGTGCTGGAATGGTCCCATCGACCGGTGGAGGTCCTGGGAATCCAACAGGAGGCGGCAGGATGGCCGTCATCGGTGTGACGAGGAACGTTCGGCTACGGAGAAGAGGAGCCTCTGGTTTTGGCTTCTCTCTGCGCGGAGGCAGAGAGTACGCGGCAGGATTTTACGTGAGCGACGTGCAACCAGGAAGCGAGGCGCATAGAAACGGACTGAGGGTAAATTATCCATTTTACACGCTCGAAATTTCTTCGTAACGCGTGTTTCTAGCGATAGCGATCGATTTTGTAATTGCGAAACACCGGCACTAGGTTTCTATTCCAGTTTGCGCGTTACGTTTGTTTCTCGCGATGAAAGTTCGGTGACCCGAAGATATTTGGAGAAGTTTGAAATTTTGTGGCGATGATAACGAAACCGTGCAAGATATGGAAAAAATTGCGGTGGTAAAGAATTTTCGAAAGAGAAGGAATATTTTTCGAAGATTCTTTACCTTTGGAATGCAGGATATCAAGAACCACACAACTTTGAATTTAACTTTCTTTCCATATTTTGTACGATTTTACAAATATTTTGTTATAAATATTATAAATATCACGATAATAAGAAAATCCGCAATTTTCTTTAAGAGGGTGTTTTCACTGTCGAAATAAAAAACTATTTCGTTATTAGCACTATTTAAACCACATTTCCACAAATTTTCAAGTCGTCCAACCTCCCTTCCAAATTTCATCCGATCACTCATTTTCACTTTCAGGTCGGCGACCAGATTATAAGGGTGAACGGGTATCCGGTGGAGGATGCTGTCCATCAGGAAGTCGCGCTTCTCGCAAAAACCCAACAAGTGCTCGTCCTCAAGATTCGAAGTAATTGATCATGTTTTTCTCTAATTCTTTTAATCGTCTACTAAACCTCCTCTCTTTTAAACCTTTCTATATACATACACGTAATGACACGTTAAACTAATTGCTCTATGTTTTTGCTGTTCCAGGCGTGGGAATGATTCCTGTGAAAGAGTAAGTACCGATCGCTCGTTAAAAGTTCCGTCTGGCGGAGGAAGGTTTGCTCGTTATAAAAGTACTTTATGATTCGCAAAGCAATCCGAACGATCCGGTCACCTGGCACATGGTGCAGCAGCAACAGCAGCAGCTACAGTACAACGAAACTGGTTTGGGCGCCATTCCGAGCACCGAAGTCAGGATTCGAATTCTCGTCGGTGAGAAGGGACGTCTCGGGTGTGGCGTTTGCAGAGGCATCGTACCAGGCCTCACTGTTCAGGTTAACACACAGCTCTTCGCAGATCCCGATTCACCTTCAACCAACCCACTCCTCTCATTTTTATTATTTAACTGTTTTAAAAATACAATTATCCGCGAGTAGAAAAGAAAAGAGTAACGCGACAAATGCACGGGAAGGAAAATCGAAGAATGAATTGATAAGAGAAGAAAATTTCTTATCCAGGGTACCAGAGACGATGGGCCGGCCAGAGCAGCAGGATTAAAAGCCGGCGACGTGATAATTTGGTGCAACGGGCAAAGATTCACCGATCTTCCGTTCGAAAGAGCCATCGAGGTAATGAGAAGCTCCGCCGTTCTGGACTTAATAGTGCAACGGCCGACACCGAATCACCTTTACGACTGTCCTGAACCATTGTGGACCCGTGGCTCGAGTGGTTACGACTCGGAGACGTCCAGCATGGCTGCTGCAAGCCCCCAGCCTCAGAATCCTTCCTACTCGCCGCAGCATCATCACGATCCAAGGATGCACCATCGATATCCTCGCGATGATGCCTGTAATCGAAACGGAAGGTTAGTAGTGGAGAAGGAAACAACGAACGAGGGTACTTGTCGTGTCGTTTGGTTACTATGCTTGTTGAAATTCTTGGAGAAATGTGAAGTAACCCTTACAGTTCTTACTGTTGAGGCTTTCGGGTGTATTCCACGTGGAATTATTTTTAATTCTGCAGCTGATTAATTGGGAAGAGTTTCTTTCTTATTGGTGCTCGCGGAACAGGAACATGAGCTATACGTAGTTTCACTATTTCAGTGGAGTACCACTATTTAAGTGCATATTAGTACGAGTGTGTCTTCAGAACTTCTGGTGAAGTTAGTTGCAATCGAAACATTGGGAAAATAATTTTCCGCGGACACGGATTATACTTGAAAGTTTCAATGGAAAGTACTGTATAACGCCGTGAAAGATCGAATATCTGAAGTAATCTTAGGTGACAAGTTTCTTGATATACTGAAAGTACAGTAGACTCCCGTATAACGTGGTTAACCCCTTGGGTACATTTGTTTTGCCTAAGTGCAAGATGACGAGTCTAACTCGTCGTTCGAATTGAGACAATATTTAACATGTGCATTCTTGTTCTTACAGAAAATCTACAATACATACTACTCCAAACATCAAACAATTAAGTCTCTTCTATATGCAAAATTTTTGTCAAATAAATCGGTACTCAAAGGGTTGGTACGCTAAGTCTTGTATGAATTCGAGTTGTAGGAGATATACGAGAGAAATTCTCGTACAACGCGAATAATCTGAAGTAACATGTTTGCAATGATCACTGCCATGTCAACTTTTGTTTTCTGTGTTTCATCAAATCAGTTTTTTAAGAAATAATTATTAACCCTTTCACCGCTGCTGGCGCCTATAGGCGCGTTAAAAATTGTTAATCCTTCGTGTTTGTCCCTTGCGCGCTTCCGTCTTAATTTAATAAACGAAACTTAGAAACCATCAATTCTTGAATTTTAACTTTAATATATTTCAAAAATTTGAACATTTTGCGGCTGCGATTGAATATGTATCGTCTGTCACGCGCGTTACGTACTAAAATCTGCCGCAGCGAAAGGGTTGATATACAGGGTGTTTGGTAACTGGTGGTACAAGCGAAAAGGGGGTGATTCTACATGAAAGAATAAGTCGAAAATATAGAATAAACATTTTTCGTTTGAGGCTTTGTTTTCGAGAAAATCGACTTTAAATTTTCGTCGAGTACGCATGCACCCTACTATGCCGTGGATGAATGGATCTCGACGTTCGGTGTACGGTGGCCAGCATTTTCAACAATTTTTGCATTAATAAAGTAAATCTTGATAATTACATGCTTTATTATTACTCATAAACCTACGACATATGGTCTATATCGAGATCCGTTCATCCACGACATAGTAGGGTGCATGCGTACTCGAAGAAAATTCAAAGTCGATTTTCTCGAAAACAAAGCCTCAAACGAAAAATGTTTATTCTATATTTTCGACTTATTCTTTCATGTAGAATCACCCCCTTTTCGCTTGTACCACCAGTTACCAAACACCCTGTATATAATAAACGAAGAATTAACAAGAAACAGAAAAAATCTGTACCGACGAAGAAACCAGTGTAATGCTCGACTTTGCGGTCCAAACAGTCCACTTAATTCGCACTAATTTGGTCACTCTGCGGCAGTACCACATTGTTTCCCTTTATTTCAATATTTCAGCGTAATATTAGTCGTAAAATGTTTCAGTGTAACATTAATGCCCAAAGAATAGTTTATTATCATCTATCCGAAGGCAAAAATTCTCACGTCGAGCCTGACTCGACATAGGACCGCAAAGGGCTCGATCAGATTTAAATTTCAAACGCAGAGAATTCCTACATTTTATTATTTAACGCGTTGCACGAAAAATCGCGTTACACGAAAACAGTAGTCACCATATCTTCAACGCGTTACAGGATTGTCTACTGAACTAGTAATTAAACAGTTACAACCGTATCCCGATATAACGTTTAGAAGACCACGTGTAAGACACGGCGAACGCCACACAGTCGAACTCATTGTACGTAATTAGAAATTGCCAACGACCGGTCTTTTAGCGTAGAATCGCGGGTACCGTATCTATCGTTCACGCGTTTTACCGCGTTGGATACGTATCTCTCTCGTTACCTCTCTCGTTATCGAGTGGCATCGACGAATTTACACCGGGAGAAAGTCGTTCTATTAATAGGACACGCGGTGATAAGGATCAAGGCTCGCCGGTTTTGCCACGACGAATTCCTGATCGCCACATAAACGTTCATCCTGCTCTTAACGCGGTGCGGCTACTATGCTTCTCCTCGCGACGTTGTTTAATTGGAATTAGAAAGTATGCATCGCGTTCGATTTGGGAAAAATGACCGATAACACGTGTCCGTCGAATATTTCAGGATCTGTTGCCCGCTCGCGTTGTCCACCAGCAGCTGCAGCTCCACCGAATGGGCTCACGTGGATCAGGTGAGAACTGTTGCAAATTATAGTCGCGAAAAGATAGTTCAACCCTCGCCCAGCCAATGCCGGGTCACTTTTGACCCATGTCTTAACCCTAGAGCGGTCTTCGGGTCTCTTTTGACCCACCGCCTTTTTATATTTTTAATAATTTTTGCTGTTATCAAGTTTACGTTCCTTAACATTATTTTAAACGTTTATCGTCTAGGTTCATATGTCGCGTTGGAAACAAAAATTATTACACGTAAGGTCTTAGATCCTTTTTCACCCAAAAGTCTTAAGAGTACAGTCAAAACGGAGACCGCTCTAGGGTTAAGCATAGCGAAGAGGCGGCAACGTCTGCTCGTTCGCTCGGCTCAATCTTATCGCTGTAGCAATAAACAAATGACCGCGCGGAGAGTTCTAACGTCTTTGGCCAGACAGTATTGAATACAACAGCGAGAAGGAAAGATCGAAGAAGCTAAATAACAGCATAAATAAAAATTTACACAAAAATTTCTAGAAAAAAGTCAGCGACTTTGAGAATTTTCTATCATTCGAATCAATTGATATGAGATAAATTGATAAATGTAGAATTGAGATAAACTTCAAATCTATAAAAAATTAGCAGCAGATTTAATATTGATGAAAAGTGGGAGGTGATTCCAAACGTTTGGCCGGTAGTGTATGTTCGAGATGCTAGAAATTCATAGGAAATGATATCAAGTACAGCTCAAAATGTATAACATGCCTAAGACATATATGTTCACAAAGTAAATAATATATTTATAAAACATTTATATTTTTTCCTCTAAGATTTTTTGTTACAAAATGATAAAGATATAGTAAAAATTCCAGTATGGGCCAAAGGAGACCCGGCGTTGGCGTACCGCATCACTGTTTTCGGTCGGCTGTTGGAGGGTTAATTCGAACAGTGACGCTGATGGGTATATCGTGATCTTTTCTTTTTCCAGGCTCAAGAATGGACTCGCAAACCAAATAACACTACCGTGATCCGTATCAATCAGATCCAGAACCAGAACCACAGGTTCGTTGGAGGACCAGTTCGTCCTAATTCGCGGGGAAATTACGAGGACGAGATCGACAACGAACCGCTTTACGATCCAGTGGCGCCGAGGATCGACTACGAGGTCCACGATTTCGACGCGAATCCACGTGACGAGGCTAATCGACGCTTGGCTTATCGAAGGGACAATATGAGGCAGCAGGACGTCATTTACGACGGACCTGCCGACGACATTCCCCCGTATCACGCATCCAAAGTGCGTTTTATAGATCCTTCTTCTTTCTTTCTTTACTAAGTAGATATCGTTCGTTGCTGTTTGATAATTAACGAGTACACGACCAGAGCACTTTCTATCCACCTTGTCCCCTCGTAATCATAGTAATTATCTGATCGAAGTAGCGTGACAATCGAGCCACCGCTGCGACTTAATTAAAAAGAGAAACCGTCGCTGCTTCGACAGTTCTGAATGAAACACCGTTGAACTTTTCCTTGGAATTTTTTTCTTCTTCTTTGTGGCAGGAAAATGGCACACAAGAGGCAGATAGGAAAACCATAACCACCGTGGAGATTCATCAGTCGGTGTGCCCGCCGGCGCCACCGCCGCCTCTTTCTTACAAGTGGTCCGCAGGTTTGTGGAATGGATATAAAAAAAAATTACGTAGATTCAGTGTTGCAGGGTGTCTCACTTATAATGAACATTTCAATTATTTCCGCTGGTATTGAAAGTAAGAAGAAATGAGTTTGGTCTCAAGTATGTATCTTGTACCACCGTCTTCGAAACGAATTTTCCTACAGGAGTTTAGTAACGATAAAGAAAAGTCCTTTGAAAGTCATTTTGAACAAAGGTCATTCCAAGCTCATCGACATTTTTTCACTATTTAAGGTCATAGTGTGACGGATCGTTGAACACTTCTCGATATCAACCACAACGTTGCATTATAAAAAACATATTAACACGTTGACTATCACGTCAGATTTACAATTTTCATTATTCTAAGTATAATATTGTACTATTATTATTTTTTCTTTTTTTTTTATCAAAATGTCTAGTTGGCTATGATGTTCGAAATTTTTCGTTGACGATATTGATTTTATTTGAATTATTCTGAACATTCGCGGCACTCCGGTCACTGATGACCAGCGTGACCCCATCCAGGAAACAGTCACAGGTGACCAACGTGTTAATATGCAAAAAAATGTCGATGACCTTGAAACGACCTTCAAAATTACTTTAGAAGAACTTTCTCTTATAATCACCAAATGCAATTTACACCATTGAAACCATATAAACTCCTCTCAGTAATTTCTTCTTACCTTCAAATCTAGCAGAGACAATTTAACTCTTTGCGCTTGTGTTTTCCGCAGGCATGGTAGTCTTACTGGTCGAAATTATTTTTTGGCAGCGCGTTTCTTTAAGCTGTGTGCATGTTACGTACCTCAGGGCCCCCGGTTTCGGTCAGTCGGGAATTTTCCGGACAGTACAGCGAGCCTACCCAAGTTTAGACAATTGCCCCTTTTTTGGGGCATCGAAGGATGTCGATGACATGAACCAGACGCGTGGCACTCCTCGAGCGTCGAGCTCTCGGTGCCTCGCATAGTCTCGAGTGACGCGCCCGGTTCTTACCTGATTTACTGCACTACCCTTGAGTGGCTTTTCGCTGTAACTGCCCGAAGGAATTTTGGTGAATGCAGAGTGTGTGACCGTTGTAGGATTTCTATGGTTTCCCCGAAGACAAAAGAGGTTCGCTAGACTTGGAGGTTACGGACGTAACATATATATAGTCGGGGCCACGATATAGCGAGGTCGTAAAATCGGTCAGACGTCAAAGTAAACATGTTTTAGCTGCCGGTATCCGAAAATTGACAGAGATACGAGCAGATAAGTACTTGAAACCATGGTCAGGACCGTACAAAGAATTCTTGTATCCAGCGAAAGTCAACTGATTCTAATATGCATGCAGCTAGGACAAATTAGAGTTTCTCCCTCTGGGGGAAGCCGCTTTTGGAAGTACGGTTACAGGTAAAGGTCTTATTGATGTCTTTAGCATCTTAGTTTATCTACTCGTGTTATATACAGATAGAAAATGCAAAAGGATTGTGTAGCTTTAATATTAACATATTTTCCATTTGTAAATGAAATACCATTTTCTACTTGAAGTACCAAATCATATGCTACCATTCGTTTATTGTTGGAACCCTCAAACAGACTGCAACACACGGCCTTGAGTGCCGCAACATCAATCGATGCCGATTCTTCAGAGTTTAATTTACGACCTCGCTATATCGTGGCCCCAACTATACATCGCTTGTGCTTTATTTTCAAATAATTATTCGTTTCGTTCCTCCTCAGTTTCAAGTGAAATCTGCCTTTGCACACACCGGTTGTGCTTTATTTTCAAATCGGGCTAGAACTTTTGCAATCATCCGATACATTTTATTCGCATAAGAGCCGCAGCACTCGCCTGCGAGAGTCCACCCTTGCTCTAGACCAGGGGAACCTTTCGGGGAAACAACGTAGAAGAAATGAAATTTAGAGAGCCGCAATTTTAATTTTAAATTTAAGAATCGCGTCGAAACATTTACTTTACCGACGCGTTATAGTTATTTTTCGGGGGGTTACTGTCGGTTCTGTGGCGGCAACAGCAGGATTTAAGAGCCTCATGCGGCTCCTCTAGAAACGTTCTAAAATCAGATCGAAAGTAAGTGCAAGGAACAGCATGTTCTACTTACTCTTCTTACCACTTTAGCACCTTCGAAGTCTCGCCCTTTCACATCTGGGGACCAGCGGTACGTTTCTGCAGACAAAGGGCGTCCCACAGAGCGTTCAGAAGGTAAAAACGCCTTACCGGGAATATTCCGTGGTCCAACCTCAAAGAGTTAAATATCCATCACAAATAAAACACTCTGTACAATAAACTCAACATCCCCAACTTCTCCCAGCAAAAGCAAGAATCCTGAATCGTTAAAATCCATTCGCAACAATTTCCAATGCTTCAACGTTCCAACACCAACCATCAACTTCTACAAAGTTCCAATCGCAAAATAACGCAAAGACGTCTCGATTCCCGCAGAAACGAAGCCAATGAACGCAAAGGGCATGCAAATGGGCAGCACGATGTCGATGGGCAGCACAGGATCAACGGAGACCGAGTCGAGCCTCGAGTCTTCATGCAGCAAAGACTCCGCGTCGACCTCCTCCTCGTTGTCGACGTCCTCCTGCGAGCCACCGTCGACGGTCTCCTTCGGCTCGATCACAGCTGCCTCCACAGGGACCAATAAAACCAACGACACAGCCGCAACCGTGCACGCCGTGTCTCGTAACACCGCGACAAGAACGTCGCCGATCGTCTGCACCGATCTGAGCACAGCAATCACGCAGGAGTTGCAGAGGCGGGCGCAGCAGGTAGGAGAATCCTTCCCCGTCGACTCATTTTTCTTCACCTTACCTCCAAGGAACGAAATACACACTCGACGTTGCGTAGCTTTACCAAGATTGTTTACGCGAATCACCCGACACTTTACCGGAATTCCGGATTTTTCAACGAATATTCGATCGATTCTCCGCAGAGGTTTCTATTATTCCACCTCTGTGGCTCCGGCGCGATTCTATTTCCTCTGTGACGTACTTGTTCTGCGGTTTCGGAAACGAGGAGATCCATCGAATGTTGATGTTTTCTCAGCGCTTTTTATACGAATCGAAGAAGAGTCGTCACGACGTTGTTCCATTCTATTCCGATAAATAGACACCTTTTCTCTTCATCGACGGGTATCTTATGCGTCATGTCGCGAAGATAACGATTCTGCATGGTAGGGGATAGTATTTTTCTAAAACACTGTTACCTACTGTGACGAAATTGAGTCTTCGTTTTCGTTCGATCGATGCGCGTGAGATCTCCTGGCGCGATTCTTATCAGCGACCTATTTCATTCAGTGATCGATACACTTTCGTAGTAACCGTGACTAAGACGGTGCGTTGCATCGGGAGATTATCGATCGTAGATAAGTATATAAATCGCGTGGATGCATCTATTTCAGAGGAGTATGAATAACGCGGCGAAAATGGACGCAGCTAAGGAGAAGGCGCTCGAGCCGCGGAAGCTGCAAAACCCGGAAGCACTGAGGGCGCAAGAACAGAAAGTCACACACGATAAGGTGAGTCAATATTTGATATTGTGAAGAAACGACGGTAGGCAAGATCCGTGTTTTTCTATTTTATCTTTCGCGACTTTTGAACTTCAACTAGAAACATCGTAGAACCCTCTTTTGAGATACCGGCGCACTCAGTGCAACCATACTCGCAGGCATTCGTATCACGCGTTCCCTTCCCTCGTGTGAGAACCTGATTCTCGTATCACAAACACCCACTCGATCTCTCGCGTGGCATCCTAACGCTTGTCAGTTCCACCTAACACGCCTCGAGTTCATTCACATTGAAATTCCCCATTGGAAGTACTCGACGTGTAAAATCGTTTATTTAATCGTTCTATTTAACCCGTACAGTCGAGTGGTCTGTTTAATTACCCTTCGATCGTACCATATTTTCGTTCTTCCATATTTTTTCTCTAATAGATACTCGGTGAAACGCGCGGAGTCTGGCGGCGTAGAGAAAATAAAGTAAGGGGAGCAGCAGGATGATTGAACACGTGAAGTGTGGTAATAATGAGTAGAAAGAGAGAGAGAGAGAGAGAGTTTAGTCTAATTAAAAATGATCGCGGGACTCTGTTGCTCATGATCGAACTTTCGTTGATGAGCGTGTCCGTCGAAACGACGGATTCACAGCGATTCTCCGAGGCGCGCTCTGCTTCAGCGCCTCGGTTCTCCGCGAGTTCAGTTCGCTGGCGAACGCGGATAGTACCGCTCGTTATTTCATCGTGTGTGCTTCACTTGTCGCTTCGCGTTCAATTCGATTAGGGTATCTAATAAGTGGGAAAAGTCGATAAAGCACGAGTTGAATTCCTGTTACAGCTGATGGAGGAGTTCAAACGTGCCCATAGGAAGATGTTCAACTCTGTCCAGCAGAAAGTTCAATTCTCCGAACAGCCTGCGGAGCAGGTAAGATGTTGATAAGCTTTATCGTTGTTTGCTAAATAAACTAAATATCGCGCGTGTGTGTTCCTTTAATCCGTGATCTTTTTTCCGCTGGTATGTATTGAAAATCGTGCGCGGTATTTATTTGAACGCGACCTTCCTCGTTGCGATAAACGCGATAACAGGTAAATTTGTGCAAATTCGAGGAATTATTTAGTGCCGTTGAAACTTCTGTCTCGTGTAAATTTGGTTGATCATTACATTATCATGCTAAATGAAAGGAAAGAGAGGATGTAGTTAGAGAGCTATTTTTATTTGTATTTTTGCAGATTGCAATTGTAACGCGTAACGAAGGTTCAAGTTCAGTGCAAATTTGTAAAATTATTTTTCGGCATTGAAACTTCTGTCTAGTCTGAATTTTCTTAGTTATTAATCATTCTGCTAAAATAAAAAGGGAGGATACACATAGAGAGGTATTTTTTTTTTTTTTTTTGCATATTCTAATTGTAACGTGAAACGAAGATTAAAGCTCGGTGCAAATTCTTAAATATAATTTACACCTATCTCGTGTGAGTTTCGTTAATTATTAATACTTATGCTAGAAGAAAGAAAAGGGAGGATACACATTTTTCTTTTTCTATATTCCAATTGTAACGCGAAACGAAGATTAAAGCTCGGTGCAAATTCTTAAAAATAATTCACTTCTATCTCCTGTGAATTTCCTTAATTATTAATCGTCACGCCAAAAGAAAGAAAAGGGAGTATAAGAATATCGAGATGATTTCCCTTTTTTATTGCATACTCTAATTCTACCGCATAACGAAGATTAAAGCTCCCCGCAATTTCGCAAAATAATTTACTACCACTGAAACTTCTATCTCCCGTGAATTTCCTTAATGATTAATCCTCACGCCAAAAGAATGAAAAGGGAGAATACACGTAGAAAGGAGTTTTTCATTTTTTTTTTCTTTGCATATTCTAATTGTAACGCGTAACGAAGGTTAAAACACCGCGGTTTACCACTTTCACCGTATTCCTTTCTTCAACAACGAAGACACCATCCTAGCAGCTTCTAATTACACGAAAAAAAAAAAACAAAGATCTCGCGACGAGGTAAAATTCCTCGGGCGCGGCCCGCGAACAATTATCGAGGCTGAGAAAGAAGGTAGACAGATGGAAGAAAGACGGTGCACAACGCGCCTGGAGTATTCGTGTACGATGGAAAAAGCGGAACTAGGGATACACATGTATATATATACGTAAGCGGTTAATTAAAAATCCTATTAGCAACACTGGCAATTGAAGCGGCGGGTGAAAACGTATCTCGAGCGGCGAGCACATCGCGTTCTGCCTGGCAACCGAGCTCGAGATTAAATATTGATATAAAAAGGAGAAAAAAAGAAAGAAACGAAGGGGAGAGCAGAAGAAATACTCGGATACAAAGCAAATAAGGCACTTGGTAGCATTTCATCGACGATTCGCGATTCAAACACACAGAAACAAAGAGAGAGAGAGAGAGGAGGAGGAGGAGGAAAAGACCGTCTCTCTGATTGCGTCGTTTTAATTACACAACCATTACTCTCAGGATCTGCCAAAGCAAACAGATAAGAACGTACGAAAATTACAAACAGCGTATATTCCTTCAGGAGGGTCTCTGTAGCTATATCGTCTCGAGTGAGAGAAGGAGAGACAGGGAGAGACGAGGGAGAGACAAGGAGGAACGTTGAAGCGTGTGCACTCAGGCAATACGCTCAGCTGCACCTGAATTTATGTACGAGCAACGCGTTTATTAACTGTTATACACACCGCAGACAGAAGGTATATCGTCGAAGCGACGCCACAAAGAGATAGAGAAGCGATCTCTTATAGTCACGTACGTTTACCTGTAATACCTTCTTCTCGGTACACGTCTGAATCTACCGCGCGAGATATCGAAGCACCTCTCTCTCTTTTCTCTGTCTCGTTATTGTCGCGTTAAACAAACGAAGAAAAGAAAAAGAAGAAAGAACGGTAAATCACGCCCTTAATTGAATCACGGTTCGACTAATTAAGCAAGCCTCTAGCATCGGATTACGATACAATAAACGGTAAAGCGGTAGAATGCTTTCTAAATCGAACTTCATACGCTCGAACGATTCCATTAATTAACGATCCGCTAATCAATGTTCTCCGTGATTATCGTTGCTCCTATTCCTCGTACAATAATTTACACCGTAACAGAAAAAAAAACACACACACACCGCGGTTCGATTGTGTTCCAATACGATAAAATTTTTACCGGGAGATTCGATGAGTCATTACATAATCGGAGTTATCGGACTACGATCGACGACGCTGTTCTTAACAGACGGTTCAGCGATTCGCGCGGTGTTAGTCGACGCGACGCTCGCTAACCGGCTCGTTCGGTTCTAAATGCGCGCGTGTTCTCTGCAAAACCAAGGTTTTCCCAGGTTGTGTGACCGACGTCGCTCGGCTAGGCTAGACTTCTTACGAATTGCGGCAGACGTGCAAAATAATAGGAGACTTACATAAGTGCCTGCTGCCGCCGCGGAGGCAACGCTCGTGACTCTGTTTTCAGTGGTACGCGATCGGTTTCAAGGTGGCCGCCATTGAAACGCGCCAGGATACCGCAAAATGTAGACGACGGGGACGGGTGTGATTAACGAAAAACCGTTTATCCGACGTTTCAACCGCGAGACGAACGTTAATTCGTGAAAAATAACAACGTTCAGGAAGAGAGAGATAGAGAGAGACCTTTGAACGTGGCGTTGTGACAGTGTTTGGAGAAACGCGGAGTACGTAACACGATCAACACGATTTCTTCTCGGAGGAGGATATTGATTAACTGAGTGATTTATAGTAAAAAAAAAGTGGCGAGAGGGAATTGAACCGTTATAAGCGGTTACGTTGCGTTTGTGCAGCGAAGGAAAGTTGGTTGAAAGAAAAAATGGCAGGCTTCTGAAACCGAAGACATGAACGGTTTGATGAGCAACGGTGAACGGAGGAAGAGTCGCGTGTTGGTTACCATTACGCCGTACGATGTTAGTTATCGATTACTTATCAATTGTCTCATCACCGTTAAATCCTCGTCTAGCGAGGACCTTTCATAACTTGTCACGTTTTCGAGATACCGCAAACTGGGGGAACGCTGATAGTACGGGGTAACGTTGGCGGTTGTACACACGGTAGTTAGATTTTAGTTAAGATGTAAATAAGTAGATAAAAGTTTAGATCGCAATAACTAATCATTCTGTGTGTCTTGAATTACATCAAAGAGCTAATTAATTTAAAAATACATTCGTCGTGCTTATGAATAAAAAAATGTAGAAGAGAGTGCGTTGAACGTAAAATGAAAGAAATTTAAGTGTCGATGTAACTTCAGATTGGTAAAACTTTAGTTGTTACGTGTATTACAGAATCAAGTTAATTGCACAAGAAGAACAAAAATTTGATGCATTTTCATACTCGTAGCACAATCGCAAAAGATGCAATGTTACAATAGAATTTTTTTTACATTTTCTTTCCAACAACTCCGCATTATTTTAAGTGTTTTATTTGAAACATACTTCAAAAGACAATTTGATAGGAATCAATTTTTTTTACTAATTACACATATTGAAAATAACATTAAGGAACATATACACGTTTCTGCTTCTCTAGGTAAAAAAAAAAATATTGCAAAATATAATACATATTTAAACTGGCAATTTAAAAGTGTCGAGTGTAACTCGACATAGGAGTACCTGTGAATAAAATTGACGACGAGTCACACTCGACAAACGAGTTCAAAGGGTTAAAGCAAATGTAAAAATGTCAATTTTCCTACCAACCTTCGCCCAGTTTACGGTACCAAACGGTCCAAATAAATTCACTCAAAGGAGAAAAGAAAAATAAACGTTTGTCTGTCTACGTATTTTTCTCTCTACTCCAGAAATTGCTATTTATTGTACCTTATTCCCGTTCGATACTGTTATCAGGAGCAAGAGAAAAGGGTATTGAACACGGCGCCAATAAACATCCCGCCGGCGCCTCCGGCACCTCAGGCGTCTCCTCCGGCGCCTCAGGTGGCTCCTCCGGCACCTCCGGCGCCTCCAGCACCACCGGCGCCGCCTCCGCTTCCGCTCCCCTCGAAGACCAAGAGCGCGGAGGACTCGGTGGAGATGCAGAGCATCGAGTCGTTCAAGCTGAAAGAGACGCCTAACCCGGTGATCCCGAAACCGCCGCCAACCTACTTCCCGATACAGAACTCGACGTCCGCGACGGCGAACGGAAGTCCACGACACAACGGTACCGGAAACAAGCCGCAGGTGAACGGAAAAGAGGCAACGACAAGTCCTATATTGGACACATCGAAGAGTAACGCGTCTACGGCAGGTGTTAACACGCAGAACTTGAAACCGAGTACTGGAAAAGTTGCTATTAGGATAGGAGCTTATGAAGGAGAAGCTAAACAACCGTCGAAGCTTGACTTTCTGTCGCAACAGTCTCGATCCGATAGGAATGGTACGGATGAACTGGCGAACGGGCCAGTTGTGTCGAGGCTGCAGAACGAGTTGGCTGCCACGTTGCAAAGATCTAACCTAAGAAGAAAGACTGATGGGGTGAGTTGGTTTTCTTTTTTTTTTTTAAGATTGAAGAGGTTGGAAAGTTGGGTGCTTATTTGAGACACTTGGAAGATAAAGTGACTAAATTTAGCGTGTGCTTTGATTCTAAAAAGAGATTAGAATGTTGGGGGTTTTTATTTGAGACACTCGGAGGACAAAGTTATTAAATTTAAGTTTGTTTTATTTATGGAAAATTGAGCGCCAAACGTGTGCTTAGATAGTAAAATTGGAGGAATATCTAAAGTGGAGTTGGTCATTTTGGCTTTTGAGTGGCTCGTTTAATAATTAAAAAGGTTTTGCGAATTAAAACCGTGGATAGAATATTTGGATTTATTTATCTGCGAATCTCGGAAGACAAAGTGACTAAATTTAAATTTGTTTTATTTATGAAAAGTTTGGGGGCCAAGCGTGTGCTTCGATAGTAAAATTGGTGGATCTAAATGTGGAGTTAATCATTTTGGCTTTTGAGTGGCTTATTTAATAACTAAAAAGGTTTTATAAATTGGAATCTTGGATAGAATAATTGGATTGTGTGTGAGAAAGAATTAATATTGTTGGAGGACAAGCACTATCGCTGAAAAGTGTAGGATTCGAGGAAAAATTTGAGCGACCAGTGGGAATTGAAACCACAGCCAAGGCTCTTTATTTCCTCATTTTTATGGGTACAGAGACTCTAATCTGAAAAGTTTGATCGCATTCGTTAAATTACAGTAAAATTGAGAGTAACTACAGAAACAGATGAATTAAGCGAGAATAATAAACTTCACTCTGTTAAGTTTGAAATAAAATTTTTAATCTGATAAATGGAATTAGAATTTCATCGACTCGAATGAAATGAATTCAATTACACCGCACTTTTGCATTACGCGATTAAACTCACGAGCGGTAATGTAAGTATAATACATGACGTTTACAAAGAGAAATCATGTCCCGAGAAACAAACGACAAAGGCAGGAATTACAGTTTAATTACACGTCTGTCTTCGAACAGCGTGATTACCAAGTAGAGAAGAGATGTTGTACGACAGGGAAGTGATAGGAGATCGAGAATGTAATAAAAGTTTCTTCTGCGTTTCAGGAATCACAGCCAGCGATTAAGCCGATCCCTGAGAATACAGCAGTGTCCGTCAACGAGACAACGAATTCAGAGCCTGGAAAGCTGGCCCAGAGTAGCATCGAGAAGCTCGCGTCCGCTCTGAACAATAAAGTCACCATCAAAGTGAACCCGGAGCATAGTAACCGATAAGAAACATTAGCTTTCGTTCGTAAGCAGACAAGAGAAAAGCAAAAAAAAAAAAAGAAAAAAAGGAAAAAAAAATGCAAGAAAAGTCGAAACGATCCGTTTTTAGGAGTCCACCATGTACCTCTGCCACTTTGTACATTTTTGCACGCTCTTTGAACCTCTAACATCGACTTTTTATTCTAGACGAAAGAATCGCTCCCCCTATTGGCGAGCTTCTTTTTTACATCTTTTACCTGTACGTCTTTTTTTATATGTTATTTATTATCGAGTAAGGAGTAAGAAGGCTAAAATAAAAAAAGAAAAAAAAGAAAAAAAAATACAAGAAGTATCCTTAACCAAGCGAGACAACTAGCGCCGCGACAACCTTTTATCACGCGGAGCCGGGTGTCTTTGAAAAAAAAAAAAACCGAAAAAAAAAGAAAAAAAAACAGAAGCGAAACTTAGTCCCTCTCCGTCGCCGACTAATGTACAGGTCGTGTGACTCGACGGAGGCATCGAACTGAAAAATAAAGACGATGATACCTAATGGAACTCGAGCGTTTCTTCACTTTCTTCCCATCCGTTGAATAACACTCTTACGAAATGAAAGTCACGGTATAGTCGATGGAAGGAATATCGGACTTTACGTCAAAGTTTACGCGTTCGAGAATATCGACAAGCTGATCGACAGAAGTTTGAGTAAATAAGCTCTTGAAACTTCCGTTAAGGCTGTGTGAAGTACAGTTTGTGGAAACGACATAACAAGGTCGTAAAATTGGTCAGGTGTCGAAGTATAGTCGGTGAAAGAAGTATAGCGAAATTGTAAGTTCACTCAGGTGTCAAGATTTACATGTTCGAGCATATAGATAAGCGAATCAAGAGAAATTTGAGAAGATAAAGATTCGAAATTTTAGTCAAGGCCGCGTGAAGTATAGTTCGTGGAAGCGATATAATAGGAAGATCGTATAATCGGTCAGGTGTCAATATTTACATGTTCGAGCATATCGACAAGCTACCTGACGGAAACCTGAGAAGATAAGGTTCGATATCTCGGTCAGGGCTGCGTGAAGTGTACCTTTGCTTTGATTCAGTCCCAATCGAAAAACGTAAAGCCCTTGATATCACTGTATCAATCTGTATCGCTAGTTGATGCTTTAATTTACGACCTCGCCGTATTCCTTCCACCGACTATACACGTAATTAGAGCGCTGGAACAACAAACTGAGGGAGATAAGGAACTCGTGACTCATTCATGGTCGGTTTTTCCATTGCAGTGTATTTAAAAAATTTGCCTGCGTCTTGATCCTTGAGAACTGCAGGTTAACTTTTAATATGCATATTTAATAATATCAATTATTGTTGAGCAAAAGGCGATAAAGCTTCGACGAAAGCCGCTTAAAGTTTCAATTTGCAACTTCGCTACATTTCTTCCACCGACTATACCTAGTCGAACTAAACACTCTAGATCGACACACGCGATTCTCTAATTACTTCACGTTGATCCAAGTTCAAGTTTCACCTCTTCCTCAAAATTTCCAAAAATTTCCAACGCCCTCTATCAGAAGTGTATCTCGATCACAGATTCGTTTAGAACAGATTAACCTCTCGCGATAGATCTGGTACCACAAATCGGTCGTCCTTCCAAAAAATTCTCCGGTCACATCGATCTTCATAAATGCCACATTTACAAACCAAATTTCCTCTCTATTTAAGTAAAAATTACGCTCTATGTCCGTAACAAGCAAAACCAAAGGTTCTCGCCATAAGACGAAGAACCTTGAAACGGAAGAGGACAGAATAAAAAAATTATTAGCTTCGGAATACTCCGATTTCGCTGACACGATCCTCGTCGAGTCTCCTTTCGCTGAAACGACAAGAAACGGACGTGGAATTCGACAAGTTTCCCTCGGTTTAACATCGTCCAAGCTGATCCTTGCTGCTGACGTTTTCACGAAGAACAACCAATTCTTCTGTCCCCGTTCCCTCGATCCCAGCATCGAGAGCTTCGAGCTTATCTCTCTATATCCTCTGCGATACGTCTGCTTGAGCGTGTTCAACCGAAGACACCGCAAAACCTTAAAGGCAAGGTAGACGTTTCCTGAGGAATGTAGATAAAGAGCGGCTACTTTCACAACTTTCACTATCTTCCATGAATAATTTCCATTAAACCGCGCTACGAATAATTTCATTAAACTGCGCCGTGAATACACTTAATTAAGCCGCACACACGGTAGCTGACCAGTATTAATATAATCAGATTTATCGACGGAAGGATAAATTACTTCGAGCTTGGCGGAATACACAGGCGAAACATTCTCTGGAAGAAATGGTGCGAAATCGTGGAAAATTTGCTCGTGAAGAGAGTAGATGAAAGTTCGTTATCGGAAACGACTGCAGCTAGTTCTTCGAGCAGTTCAACCTTGTACATTCTTTCCTCGGAGATCGAAATTCAGAAGGATCCTAAGAAGGAAGGTGAAAAAGCTGTATGCAGGTAGTAAAACATCCTTTCCTTTTTACAAAATTTCTCTTCTAATTTTAAGCTACCAATTTTAATACCGACATAATCGAACGCAGAATATGGACTCACTATGGAGGTGCAGGTGATTACGCGCCCCCAACATGGCGCCAGAGAGACCTCTACCTTGGACCGTCTCACAACGAGTTAGCAGACGGTCGATACACTCCGATTCCCGTAAGATTTGCCGGAGCCAGTTTAGAGAACATCAAGGACGAGCTGAGAGATCTTTCTCCGAGCAAAGCTGAGAAAGGTACGCGCAGCTGGCCCACGTGTCACTGTCTGAAGGAGAGACAGAAGAAGAACGGCGGTCTTTGCGACGTTCTCTTCATCAGAGACAAGCATAACCGAAAGTATCTCAACGCGAACAAATTCTTCGCCACCTGTCAGAGCTGTCCTTGCAATCATCTGCAAGCGAGAATCTTCCAGGACAAAGTTAGCGACAGACGAAACGTGTGGTACGAAGAAGAGACACTGGACGAGGAGGAGAGAAGTCCTAAGAGGTGTCTGACGAGAAGGATATCTCGATTTGGAATCGGAGTGCCGGAGAATTGTCACTCCGGATTGGTTCTTGGTCCGACCCGAAGGGAACGAGAGTGTTTACCCTCGAAACCGACGATTAAACGTAAACAGAATTTGTACACTCTGATGGAAAATGGAGTGAAAATTTGGGAAGGTGAAAGAAAGGGTTGTTGCAAATCTTCGAAGCCTTCGAAGCATTTTAGGAGATACGGTCTCTGCAGTGCGCCTCATTTTTTGTACGCTCTTGGTCCTTGGTCTGTGCAACCTGGAGAACGAAGCACTCTTCAGGGGCGTAGGTCTTTTAGTTTGGTTACTGTTAGAAGGCAACCTGCTGAGTCTGAACTGAGACTTCCCGTGTCACGTCGTCAGTTGGCTACTAGTATTTCGTATTGTGCTCTTCAGTCGGGTAGGTTTGGAGCAGTTGGCAGCACTGCAAGAGGACGTGTCGTGCTGTTCTGGACTCCGGAGTATTGGTACAGACCTAGACCTGCCTCTGCTGCTTACAGGTAGTGAAAGTAATGCGAACTGGCGAGTTTTAACCCTTTTTATCTCACGGCGTACTTAAACTAATTAGTAAAATTGTACGGGACAAAATATGTTACATTTTTTTGCCGATTTGACAATATATGCATTTTTGACTGATTTACAAAAGAAATAATATAATTTTATGAAATAAAATAATACTTTTTCCTTTAATTTTTGAACTAATTAGTAATATTGTACGGCACAAAATATATTGTATTTCTTCGTCGATTTGGCAACAAAGTATACATTTTTGACTGATTTACAAAATAGGCAATATTTTTGTCCGCTAATGTTTAATTTATTATTAATTTATTTTAATTTAATTTTTTAACATTCTAAGTCCGAGTGGGAATCCAGAGTCCCGTACATTTTAAGGAACTTTTATTAACCCTCTAAATCCAGGAGTGTTTTAAACTTTCTTTTCAGGGTTAAAACAGCCTACTTTACACTGTATGGAATGCATGAAAATGTGAAAATCATAAATTTCTGCTATGCGACTCTAGAGTCTCACTCGGACTTAGAGAGTTGACTTGCATTAAAAATTTTTTAAAAACTTGTGGACATCTTGAAGCACACCACTCGAAAATCAGCGATACAAACAACCAAATTTTCATTTTTCTTTTCAATTAAATTACAACAGGGAGCTGAGACGACACTTGAACCACCTAAGAAATTACCGTCGCGAGAAGGAGCGACCTGTGAAACGTAAATTATTCTCCAGAAGAAAAAAGTGTCTCTGCGAGAAAGAATCGATCATCGTCCCCGAAGAGAAACCTAGTTTTCTCGAAAGAATCTTCTCCGGAAACGTGCCTTACAGGAAAAAGAAGAAATCCGTGGCCGAAGAAAACAGTGCCACCGTCCAACTAAAAAACTTGCTCAGAATGGATTTCAGAATAACGATTTGGGACATAAACAGCACCATTCTGTCAAAACAGTTAACGCTCATAGATCGCGATCTCTTCGTCCGAATCCCTCCAGAAGAAATAGAAATCCTAGTCTTCCAAAGGAGCTCGCGAAACGCGCCTAACTTGGCCGCCTGGGTAGCCTTCAGCCATCGAATCTCCTGTTTGACAGTCAGCGAAATCCTGGCGGTGAAAAAATTAGCCATGCGAAGCAGAATCATCGCGAGACTGATCAACGCAGCCAGAAAATGTTTCGCCATGGGAAACTTTCATTCCTGCAGATCGATCCTCGCTGGTCTACAAGCTCCGCCGATTTTCAGGCTGCGAAACAGCTGGTCTTATCTTCGTATCCACCATGCTAACAGGTATTGCACAATTCACATCTCCCGACAATTAATCCCATCACCTCGAATAAATTCTTCCAACTCTTTAGATACGAAGTTATGGAGAGACTTTGCAAACTTTACAAGAATCCTTGCAGCTCGGCTTATCGTCGAGCTTGGGCCAAAGTCGAGAAGAATCCACCGTTCATGCCACACGTGGCTGACCTTTTAGCGAAGATCCTCGGTCTGAGTAATCCGGAAAATCGTCAAAAATACAGCAAACTTAACCGTATAAACGATGAAACAAGTAGTTCAAAGTATTTAACCGCAGACTTCGTTAACATAAGTAAAGATTCGTCTGTGAGAATTAAGGAGGATTTGGAAGAGAAGCAAAGCTCGGACAAGGGTATCATTGCGTCGGTTTTAACTAGGATAAAGTACAGGAGAGATCAGAAAACAATTTACGAGGAGAAGACGGACTCGTTTTGGTCGACAAGGGAGCAGGATTTAGCGTGGAAATATTTCTATCGTTGGAATAATCTCGTTGCGAGGCGTAAAGTTTGCGCGAAGGAGGTGGAGAGATCGAGAGACGTGGATTCGAGGATGAAACGAGTGATGGAGGTTGCGTTCTGGTTAATGGAATGTCAGAAACAAGCTCAAGGGTACGAGTTTCCGGTGCACTCGTTCACCAGGGAATTTTTATTGAAGACTCGATATAGGGAGGACAGGGAGAACTTTTTTATTAGTTTGAAAGTGGAGCCGTCGACGATCACTTGACAAGAACAGTTTTAAATAGTTCGCGGTGTATTGTCGATAATGATAAATGGAATACGGAACGAGGAGAATCGGTGTCCTTGAACGATTATTCTCTCGTATCGGAAGAAAAAAACAGTAGAATTCTTAAATGCGTTTCGAAAACAAAAAGAGTAGAATTCTTGAACGCGTTTCGAAAAAAAAGAACAGTAGAATTCTTGAACGCGTTTCGAAAAATAACAGTAGAATTCTTGAACGCGTTTCGAAAACAAAAAGAGTAGACTTCTTGAACGCATTTCGAAAAAAAAAAGAACAGTAGAATTCTCGAACGCGTTTCGAAAAAAAGAAAATAGTAGAATTCTTGAACGCGTTTCGAAAAAAGAAAACAGAAGAATTCTTGAACGCGTTTTGAACAAAAAAAACGGAATTCCTCAATGCGTTTCGAAAAAAAAACAGTAGAATTCTTGAACGCGTTTCGAAAACAAAAAGAGTAGAATTCTTGAACGCGTTTTGAAAAAAAAAACGGAATTCCTCAATGCGTTTCGAAAAATAACAGTAGAATTCTTGAACGCGTTTCGAAGAAAAAAAACAGTAGAATTCTTGAATGCGTTTCGAAAAAAAAAACAGTAGAATTCTTGAACGCGTTTCGAAAAATAACAGTAGAATACTTGAACGCGTTTCGAAAAAAAGAAAACAGTAGAATTCTTGAACGCGTTTCGAAAAATAACAGTAGAATTCTTGAACGCGTTTCGCAGAAAGGGAATTTCCACAAGAATATCAGAAACGACGATAATCGCTAAGTCCTCCGTACGAATGCTGGGACTTTTCAGTGGAATTTACGCAATCCTCGGAGAATCCATCGGCGATCTCGTCATCGTCGATCAGAGGTATACTGTATTCTATAATGTAACCACAAATTAAATTAAGAAAAAAAAAGAAAAATAGAAAGACAGAAGAAAACGTAAGGCTAGATCGAGTAAAAACGATGAGAAAAATAATAAAGCAGACGTAAAAAGAATTTGTAGAAATGAAGTAAATTTATATAGATATATAGAGAGAGATATATACATGTTATATACATCGATCGTTTTGCTGGAACAGTGTATCTACATGTGCTCTTTGTACTTATATTACTTATGTAACGTTCTTTTCTCTTCTCTTTTTTAATAAAAATCCATTAGATCCACTTATACATTTGAGTTTGTTATTCGAAACGAACCTGACGAATTTTCTCTCGCAGATATATGTACATTCGCTTGGAACAATTTCAACAAGGTAACATACGTAATTAGACATTTCTCATCGTCGATTATAGGCTGCGGATGTTTATGCAAACGTATTGTTGTCGGAGAAAAATAGGTGAAAGAAACGAGACCTAAAATTTATCTTCTCGTTAGAGGGTTCTAAAAATATACTTTTTATTTCGCATACGTTTTGCCTACTTCGGTTTAAGAAGCATATGCTACATATTTCACCGTATATTTTGGGTTTGCGATTATAGACAATAAATCGCAATAATTACAACGTTTCATACCTGTGACTCGATGGAACAGAAACAATTACACACGTATCGTAGAATAATTAGCTCGATTGGTAACTCCAGGAAAGTCTCTTCTACAATTCGTGCCTCACCTAACAATTCCTAACTTTAAGTGCGAAGATACAGTAACTTGTGTAGTTTTCTATGTTTCAAAATGCCGGAGGTAAAGAAAAGTAGGCAGTAGTTAATACAGTATTGGCTCGAAACTGCAGGCAATTGAAGATTTATCAGCGGTGAAGGTAGTGAAACAAAATTTGCGACGAACGTGTTAGTATTAGCAATACGATTTACATATTGTAGTTACACTGTTAGATTAGCAGATTATTGTGGCGTATTTTTTGTTAACAAGGTAGAGTGTGAAAAAAAAAAAAGGTAAATGGCAATTAATAGAGCTTGGTAATTTTGATCGGTGTAAGAAGAAAGTGCAGATATCGCCTAATTTGAGGGAGTCTGCAAATTTAGGAAAGATAGCAGGTGGTTCGAAAAGGAATTAGTTCTATATGGACTTAAGCCTTGGCGAATTTTGGATAACGAAGCGTGGAGAAATTTTCTATTAAAATATACGAATCGAATAAGTCGAGGAAAAGTTTAAGGAAACATTTTTTAAACGTTTGCTATCATTTAAATATCCAGAATATCAAGAAAGATACGAGAGATTTTTGTGTGTGAATTTTTACAGATGAAAGTATCGATGAAATCGGTCGATATATGGCACATTTAATATTAGGAAAAATGTGCAACAATGAAATAACCGGATCTCGTTTACTTTGTTGCGAATAATTAGAGCAGACGAATCGCGTGATTCGTTGATTAGCTCGATTTGTTAATTGCATTATGCACGTGTTATTTCCAAACGGTAGAAAGTAAGAGTGATTTTCTGACCGTATCAGATGCGACTCTGTATACAATCAAAGAGGGAAAGAAATCAGAATTAGTTTAGACAAGTGTTTCTTATAAGTTACTCTTCCCCGATTCTTGTAATATTCAAATACGAATATTAGGTTCGCGGCTTACACAGAGTGGCTGAAAGAATGCAGCTTCGTTTCCTGTTAACGAATCAATTATCTTCGGTTAAAAAAATTTGTTCAAAAGCACCACTTCGCATAGAAGCATGCTGGAAAAAATTATAAAATATGTCTGTACCATTCAAAACTTATTTTAATATTTTATGACTAGATTTGTTTCTCTTAACACCTGAAAATAGTGAAACCATTAATTCTTACTTTTCATTGTATTTCTGCAAACAGGCAGTTGAAACTTTTAATTAAAATGATATTGTTGCAATTGCAACTGCTTAGAATGTATTCCAACAAACACAAGTTACTCAAAATTTGACACTGATTAAAGCACATTAACGAATACTACCAAACACAATAAACAGATTGGAAATTATCGGTCCAGAAATTCGATACAAATATTCATGGACTGCGTTAAACTTAGAAATTATTGATCTACTCTTAACGAATTAGACTGTATTAAACATTTAAGGAGTGTACCCGGTAGTTACACCGAACAAATTCGCGCAAAAGTACATGGAATCTTAAAAAAGAGTCCTGGATTGTCCGAAATATCGAAAATCACAAGTACAAATTATATACCACAACGCTACTAAAACAAATATAAACATGCACCGATTACACTCTATGATACAGAACCTTCCTTTTCAGAATATAAATTAACATTAACCCATAAACGTGAACAATGGAGTATTACAAATATAAAAAAGTTACTTTAAATTTATTGTAATGCAAATTATACTACTCTTCGCCATAAATAAATTATTAATTTAAACAAAACTGTTAAATATCCCCTTCTCCTAGTTCAGACAATGTTGTACGAGATAAATCTAATGTTGAACACATTACTGACAAATTGTACATATTTTCTATGCATATATGCATCTGTTCTTTGCACGTCTTGCGTGCATAAAGATCCGCAGTCTAGATTCATCATCTTCTCTTTTATTCCGAACGTAGCCATATATATATATATATATGCATATATAACTTTATATTCCAAACATAATGTACACAGAATTGTTGCTATACATATGCACAGTATCGTTTCATTTAACAAGATTTCATTCAGTCGTAAAATTAAAAAAGAGTGTGTGTGTAATGTTGATGATGAGCGGAAGAGTGAATCTCTGAACGGAAAGATCCATCGTCGAATTTCTTTTGACTAGATAACACAACCATCGTATATATATATGTATATACAATCGCAAAATATACAGTCGAGTGTTGATTTGAATAAGAAACGAAATTGGGGGCGGGGATGAAGAAAAATGATCGAATAAAACGTAGAACCAGAGGGAAACAGTCTTATTCTGACGACAATCAACAGAGCAATAAACTTTCTTCTCTCTCTCTCTCTCTCTCTCTCTCTCTCTCTCTCTCTCTCACTCTCTCTCACAAACACACATTTAACATTCATTTCGTACACGATAACTGTTCCAAAACCCTTCTCCCTCTCTCTCTCTCCTCCTTTCATTCATACTTTCTTGTTTCTTGTTCTTTCTTCTTCTTCTCTTTTTTTTTGTTCTTTTCTTTTTTTAAATAGGTAATAATACATATTTAGAATATATTCCTGCGTTCGCGATCGAAAGCTGGACTCTGGGTGTCGCCTTACGTATCGCCGGCCGCACAAAACAAAACTGTCCTCTCAATCGAGAATTCTCGAATTCCACCGACAACAAACAACAATAAAAATAAAAATAAAGAAATCACGTATTCCAGCTGAACTACGAAATAAAAAAAGAAAGGGAAAACATATACACACGAGCGAGCTCTACCGATGTATAACGATTATTATTCTCTCTAGATCCCGTATAACTAATTACGTAAAATGCGCCATCAGAAATGCACTCGTATACGAGGATACAGAAGAGAGACAGCGAAACGAACGATCGACTGTCGTCTGTCAACGATAAATTATAATATATTAAGGAGTACG